GAGGCTTACCCAAACGCCAGCTCTGCCGCAGAACGCAGAACGAGAGCTGTTAAACAGGACACAAAATCAACAGTATAGCCTGTTTCTCCAAGCAAACGCCACCTACTGACAGGGACGGCATCTTGCACCAGCCTCTTCCACGGCACCCCACTGACTCAATATACAGAGGGGTGTCCAATCTCACACACAGACACACCTAGCCTCAGAAATAAACAAGGTGTGTGAATACCAAACAAATAACCTAAGGAAAGAAACAACAACTGATCGACATGGGAAGAATCAGCGAAGAAACCAGGAAATATGAAGAACAAAACGGAAAAACACCCAAAGAGGAGCACCAGCCCCTAGAAATGGACACCAACCAAAATCAGGCAACCAATATGACAGAAAGAGGAATTTCGTATCGTGGATCATAAGAACACTCACCCAGCTGCAACAACAACTCAATAACCAACACAAAGAAAACCACAAAAGTCTCCAGGATATGGGAAATGAAATAGACACAATGAAGAAAAGTGTAACCGAACTCCTGGAAATGAACAATTAATTCAAGGAACTACCAAAATATCAGTGGAAAGGCCAAGAAAGGGTAGATCAAACAGAAGAAAGAATCTCAGGCTTGAAGATAACACCCTCCAGTAAATAAATCAGCACAGAATAAGAAGAGCAGAGAACAAGGAGAAAAGAGCAAGCCTACAAGAGCTGTGGGATTATGTGAAGAAACATAAAGGGTTATAGGGTTACAAGAAGGGAAGAAGACAACACTCAATGTTGGACAAGCTGTTTGAAGGAAATAGAGGAAAATTCCCCAGGCCTTGCTCAAAATCTTGATATACAAGTTCAAAAGCTCAGAGGACCCCTGGGAGATTTCAACGCAAACAAGAAGCGTCACGACATGCAGTCATCAGACTGACCAAAGATTCAACTAAAGAGGCCCTTCTAAGAGCTGTAAGACAAAAGAAGCAAGTAACATACAAGGGAAAGCCAATTCAAATAACCAGACTTCTCTAATGAGACTTTACAAGCAAGGAGAGACTGGGCCCCATTCTCACTCTTTTGAAACAAAACAATGCCCAGCCTAAATATTATTCCCTGCAAAACTAAGCTTCGTATATGAAGGAGAAATAAAAACATTCTCAGACAAGCAAAGGCTCAGAGAATTCACCAAGACAAGACCAGCCCTACAAGAAGTATTTAAAACAGCGTTACGCACGGAACATCATAATAATAACCCACGAATATAAAAACAACCAAAACCCAAAGATATTAAAGGCCAGATATTACAATGGCTCAAGACAGAAATCATAGCAACAACATCCAACCCAACAGAATGATCAGTAATCTACCTTACCTATCAGTTCTCTCAATAAATGTGAATGGCTTAAACTCTCCATTCACTGCAACCTCAAACCTGGAACTCCTGGACTCAAGCAATCTCCTCCTGCTTCAGCCTTCCCAGTAGCTGGGACTAGAGTTGCACGCCACAACCCCCAGATAATTTTTTCTATTTTTTGTAGAGACGGGGTCTCAATCTTGCTCTGACTGGACTCAAACTCCTGAGCTCAAGCAATCCTCTCATCTCAGCCTCCCAGAGTGCTGGGATTACAGGTGTGAGCCACTGCACCTGGCTTCTGGTTTATTCTTAATCATCATACTTATTTTCAACTAATATGATATAATAATTTATTTAGTGTTCATTTTCCCCACTAAAATGTTAAGCCCATAAGAGCAGAAGTTTTTGTCTGTTTTGTTGGCTGAAGTATCCCAGTACCTAGGACAGTGCTTGGCACATGGGTAGATACAAATATTTCCTTTCTAATTTTTTATTTGGAAATAATTTCAAACTTACGAGGAAATATTGCAAGATAAGTACAAAGACTACCATATACATTTCTTTTTAAATATTAATTTTATTTTTAATTGACACAGTAATTGTACATATTTATGGGGTACATAGTGGTATCTCAATACATATAATGTAGAGTGATCCGATCAGGGTAATCAGCATATCCATCATATCAAACATTTTTAATTTATTTTGGTTGGGAACATTCAATATCTTTCTTCTAGCTATTTGAAACTATATGACTCAGCGGTGGTCACTGTGCAGATCGGTTTCTTCTCCCTCTCGCAACTCGCACCTCACTCCGCTTTTCTGCAACCATGTCTGACAAGCCCGATATGGCTGAGATTGAGAAATTCGGTAAGTCAAAATTGAAGAAGACAGAAACGCAAGAGAAAAATCCACTGCCTTCCAAAGAAACGATTGAACAGGAGAAGCAAGCGGGTGAGTCATGAGGCGAGCGCCACCAATATGCACTGTATATTCCACAAGCATTGCCTTCTTATTTTACTTCTTTTAGCTGTTTAACTTTGTAAGATGCAAAGAGGTTGGATCAAGTTTAAATGACTGTGCTGCCCCTTTCTCATCAAGAGAACTACTGACAACGAAGGCCGAGCCCGCCTCTCCCATCTGCCTGTCTGTCTGGCAGGGAAGGAAATGAACAAACAGATATATACAGAATGTTCTACCTCAAGTGCACATGTAGCATTCTCCAGGATAGACAAATGTTGGCCACAAAACAGGTCTTAATAAATCTCCAAATATTGAAATCATACAAAGTTCTTTTATCCAACACTTTGAAATACAAATCAATAGCAGAAGGCAAACTGGAAAAATGATACACTACAAAAATGCAATGAAACACACACAAAAAAACAGTAATGAAGGAATTAAGGAACAAAAAAATTTATAAGACACAAAAAAGATAAAGAGCAAAATGGCAGAAGTAAGTTCTTCACTATCAGGAATTGCTTTAAATAGACTCAACTCTCCAATTAAAAGGCAGATATTCACAGGAATGGATTTTTTAAAACATGATCCAATTATATGCTGCCTACAAGGACACACTTTGGATTCAAAGACACAAACAGATTAAAAGTGAAAGGAAAATTAAGATAGTGACATCAGCAAGATGGTGGGATAGGAAGTGCTAGAATTCCTCCCCCTACAAAAGACAATAAGTAGACACTTATCTGTGAATAAAAATAGCCCTACGAGGGCTCAAGAGCCCACTTAAGAACCTACAGCAACACTCTGGAGGAAAAAAGGGGGAAAAATCACACAGAATGAATTGCTGGGGAGACAGGCTCAGCAGATATGTCTGGAGAAAATTAGGAACAAAGAAGAAGACTGGAGGTTATCTGTATTAGCCACACAGGGGGTGCCATCACAGACCCCAGTGGTGGCCTGAAGAGAACCCAGCCAGCCTTTGCTGCTGAGGATCTCAACAGTGCCTATGATAGACATGCACTCCCCATAGTTTTCATTAGTGCCAATCCTAGCAACCTGCTCCACAAAGGACACCAGCAGCTTTTGGCACTGAGCCATCACTGACATGGACACCCTGGAGAAGAAGATGCCGCTGTACTCCTTTACACACAGAGAAAAATCTGCTGTAGCACTGACCTGAAACCAGGACTGCCATAATCTCCAACCCTGTGCAAGTGCTGGACCCCAGGGTTGGTGTACACTTGCACTTCAGACTACAGCTTCACAGCCACTCTACACATAGCCACACTCCAGATCCTAGCTCTGCAGCTGCTGTGTGTGCACTCATGCTCCTTGGTGTGCACTGGCACTTCTGATCCCAGCTCTACAGCCACTCTGCACATACACATCCATTCAAATGGAAAACAAAAGTAATTAGGGGGAGCTATACATAGACAAAATAGACTTTAAGTCAACTATTTTAACAAGAATAAAAGAAGGTAATTATATAAAGATAAAGGGGTTAATTCATCAAGAGAATATAACAATTAAAAATATGTATGTACCAAACATTGGAGAACTTAAATATACTAAGCAAATATAAACAGATCTGAAGGCAGGAATAGATAGCAAAACAATAATAGTAGGAAACTTCAATACCCCACTTTGAACAATGAATAAATCATCCAGACAGAAAACCAATAAGGAAGTATTGGACTTGAACTACACTTTAGAAGATCACAAATAAGCAATCTAACTTTACAGCTCAAGGAGCTAGAAAAGAATAAGCTAAGCTCAAAGTTAGCAGAAGGAAAGAAATAGCAAAGATCAGAGCAGAGATAAATGAAACAAAGATTAGAAAAATAATAGACATTATCAACAAAACTAAAAGTTCGTTTTTTAAAAAGATGAACAAAATTGACAAACCTTTACCTGGACTAAGAAAAAAAGAGAGAAAACTTAAATAAATAAAATCAGAAATGAAAGGGGAGGCATTACAACTGTAATAAAACATAGTAAGAGACTACCATGGATAATTACATGCCAATGAATTGGATAATCCAGAAAAAATGGATAAATTTCTAGAAATATAAACCTACCCTGACTGAATAATGAAAAAATTGAAAATCTGAACAGACCTATAACTAATAAGGAAATTGAATCAGTAATGAAAAATCTCCCAACAAAGAAAACACCAGGACCACATGGTTTCACTAGTGAATTCTACTGAACATTTAAAGAAGAGGCCGGGCGTGGTGGCTCACACCTGTAATCCTAGCATTCTAGGAGGCCGAGGTGAGCGGATTGCTTGAGGTCAGGAGTTCGAAACCAGCCTGAGCAAGAGCGAGACCCCATCTCTACTATAAATAGAAAGAAAGTAATTGGCCAACTAATATATATAGAAAATATTAGCCGGGCATGGTGGCGCATGCCTGTAGTCCCAGCTACTCGGGAGGCTGAAGCAGCAGGATTGCTCGAGCCCAGGAGTTTGAGGTTGCTGTGAGCTAGGCTGAGCCACGGCACTCACTCTAACCTGGACAACAAAGCGAGAGTCTGTCTCAAAAAAATAAAATAAAATAAAGAAGAATTAACACCAAACCTTCTCAAAATCTTCCAAAAAATTGAAAATGATGGACAATATCCCTGATAAACATAGATGCAAAAATCCTCAACAAAATACTAGAAATTATCAAAAGGACAAAAGACAACACGTTTTTTGGAGGATATGGAGAAAAGAGAACCCTGTGCACTGTTGGTGGAAGTGTAAATTGCAACAGCCATTATGGAAAAGAATACATAGATTCCTCAAAAAAATGAAAAATAAAACTACCATTTGACCCAACAATCCCACTACTGGGTATATATCCAAAGGAAATTAAATTAGTAAATTAAAAAGATATCTGCAATACCACGTTCATTACATATTATTCACAATAGCCAATATATGTGAACAACCTATGTGCTCATCAGCAGATGAATGAATAAAGAAAATATGATATATAAACAGTCATATGCTGCATTTCAGTGAATGATGGACCACTTATACATTGGTGGTTCCATAAGATTATAATGGAGCTCAAAAGTTTCTATCACTTGGACACACTGTAATTTTGGCTCAAACTGTACAAAAGCACTTCATGTAACCAAAACGTTTGTACCCCCGTAATATTCTGAAATAAAAAAAAATTTCTATCACCTAGTGATGTTGTAGCACATGTTTGTGGTGATGCTGATGTAAACAAACCTACTTTACTTCCAGTCATATAAAAGTATAGCACATAAAATTATGTACAGTACATAATCTCCATCATAATAATAAATGACTGTTACTGGTTGATGTATTTACTACAATTTTTTTTTTTTTTGAGACAGAGTCTCGCTTTGTTGCCCAGGCTAGAGTGAGTGCCATGGTGTCAGCCTAGCTCACAGCAACCTCAAACTCCTGGGCTCAAGCAATCCTCCTGCCTCAGCCTCCCGAGTAGCTGGGACTACAGGCATGCGCCACCATGCCCGGCTAATTTCTATATATATTAGTTGGCCAATTAATTTGTTTCTATTTATAGTAGAGACGGGGTCTCGCTCTTGCTCAGGGTGGTTTCGAACTCCTGACCTTGAGCAATCCGCCCGCCTCGGCCTCCCAGAGTGCTAGGATTACAGGCGTGAGCCACCGCGCCCGGCCTTACAATTTTTATTATTATTTTAGAGTGTACTCCTTTTACTTATTAAAAAAGTTAACTACTAACAACCTCAGGCATCCCCTTCAGGAGGTATTCCAGAAGAAAGCATTGTGATCATAGAAGATTACAGCTTCGTGAGCATTATTGCCCCTGAAGATCTTCCAGTAGGACAAGATGTGGAGGTGGAAGACAGTGATATTGATAATTCTAAGTCTGTGTAGGCCTAGACTAATGTGTGTGTTTGTCTTATTTTAACTAAAAAGGTTTAGAAATTAAAAAAACTAAAATTTTCAAAATAGAAAAAAGCTTATAGAATAAGGATATGAAGAAAGAAAATATTTTTGTATAGCTGTACAATGTTGTTTTGTTAAGCTAAGTGTTATTACAAAAGAGTCCAAAAGGTTTTTAAATTTTAAATCTATAAAGTAAAATTTCAGTAATCTAAGTTTAATTTGTTACTGAAGAAAGAAATTTTTTAATTTAGTGTAGCCTGAGTATACAGTGTTTATAACATCTATCGGTAATGTACAGTAATGTCCTAAACCTTCACATTCACCCACCACTCACTGACTCACTCAGAGCAACTTCTAGTCCTGCAAGGTCCACTCATGCTAAGTGCCTGATACAGGTGTACCATTTTTTATAATTATTTATACTGTATATTACTGTACCTTTTCTATATTAAATACACAAATACTTAACATTGTTTTAGAGTTGCCTACAGTATTCGAGTACAGTAACATGCTGTACAGGTTGGCAGCCTAGGATCAAAGCTAGAACATATAGCCTAGGTGTATAGTAGGCTATATTATCTAGGTTTGTGTAACTATACTTTATGACATTCATATAATAACAAAATTGCCTAATGATGCATTTCTCAGAATGTATCCCTGCCATTACTGCACATGACTATACCTACAATGGAATGTTATTCAACCGTAAAACTAAGAAAATCTTGGCCAGGCGCGGTGGCTCACGCCTGTAACCCTAGCACTCTGGGAGGCCAAGGCAGGTGAATCACTCAAGGTCAGGAGTTCCAAACCAGCCTGAGCAAGAGCGAGACCCCGTCTCCACCAAAAATAGAAAGAAAGTAAGTGGACAACTAAAAATATATAGAAAAAATTAGCCGGGCATGGTGGCACGTGCCTGTAGTCCCAGCTACTCGGGAGGCTGAGGCAGAAGGATCACTTGAGCCCAGGAGTTTGAGGTTGCTGTGAGCTAGGCTGACGCCATGGCATTCTAGCCCAGGCAACACAGTGAGACTCTGTCTCAAAAAAAAAAAAAGAAAGAAAGAAAAGAAAGAAAAAAAGAAAAAAATGAAATGAAATGAAAAGAAGAGAAGAGAAAAGAAAAGAAAATCCTGCCATTTGTGACAAAATGGATGAAACTGGAGGGCATTATGTTAAGTGAAATAAGCCAGACAGATAATGACAAATACTGTATGGTATCACTTATATGTGCAATCCTAAAAAAAAAAAAAAAAAAAAAAAAAAAAAAAA